CTTGTCCTGCTGTTAGTTCGTAGTTGGCTTTATTAATAACCGATGACTGTATTTAGATGGACTCTAGTGTAGAATGAGTTAGAGGTGGATTGCTGCCCCCTAGTTCTGTGGAGCATGAGGTCAGATGTTACACATTCCTCTTTTAAAGGCTGTTTTCATGAATGATGATGTCGTGAGTCAGTCTTTCGCCCCGCCCCCTCTCAGGTCTGAAGACCACGGTCGGAGCTCTCGTCCAATCACTGAAGGGACTCCTTAGCGTCCTCGTTCTGATGGTGCTCGTCCTTAGCGTCTTGGCTCTGACTGGTCTGCTGCTCTTCATGGGAAATCTGAGGAGCAAATGTGTCATTTGGCCTGTTTCTAATATCAGTTTCCACGATATGACTACAGACCCTGGTATGATGAAGATGATGAAGATGATGATGATATTTAGATGTACAGTGTTTGTCTGATCCCTGTATTTCAGCTGTTGTCCTTCGTCTCTCTGGCAGTGAACTACTACTTCCTGCCAGGTCAGCTCGACGCTCTGGTGTGTGGAAACAGCTCTGATTCTGGGTTCGTTCACAACACAGACACTTAATAACATGAGACCTGATGATGGTGATGATGAAGGTGATGATGATGAAGGTGATGATGTGTTCAGGCGCTGTCCGGAGGGCTACACTTGTCTGAAGGTGGGAAACAACCCAAACTACGGCTACACCAGCTTTGACTCATTTGGGTGGTCTCTGATGTCTGTGGTCAGACTGCTGAGCAAAGACTTCCTGGAGAGCCTGGTGCAGTTGGTCCGTAACCCTAAAATTCAAAGTGTGATAACAACAAAAACAGGGTCTCTCTCTCTCATCTGTCTGTCTCTCACCTGTCTGTCTCTCTCACCTTTCTGTCTGCAGACGTTACAAGCAGTAGGTAAAGCCCACCTGACCTTCTTCGTGCTCGTCTTCTTCCCCGGCTGCTTCTTCGTCCTCAGCCTCGCTGTGGCGGTCGTTGCCATGGCGTCCAGTGAGCGGGAGGAAGCCGGCGTCACCGAGCTCAAACGGAGAGAAGAAGAGTTCGGTCACATCCTGGAAGCGATAAAGAGGAGAGAAGAAGAAGAGGTGAGATCTGTTCAGTTCCCACACCTTGTTCATGTAAATAAAGCTTTTATTAAAATGTGCTGTTGTTACAGCAGGAGGCCTGCAGGCCGGCGCTCTCAACGGAGTCTGATGGTGGAAACACAGAGAGCATGGAAGGTACACACACACACACACACACACAGACCAGAATAATGCTGACTTCCTGTTGGCCTCAGAGATCCACTGTGTTGTGTTTCAGAGGACCAGAGGTCGTGTTCTTTGTGCTGGTTTGTCTTCGCCAACTTCCTGCTGAAATGGAACTGTTGTGGCTGTTGGCGGTGGCTCAAACAGCGGCTCTACATCTTCATCACAAGCCCGTTCTTCGACCTCGGGGTCGTCATCTGCCTCATCGTCAACATCGTCTTCATGTGTTTGGAGTGTTATCCAATGACGGAGCGCTTCAACAGGACGCTGAATGAAGCACAGCTGGTCAGTTCTAGAGAGGTTTGAAACTTTAAAGTGGAAATGAAACAAGTTACAAGTTACACTGATTATCAGCAATTATAAAACATGACATATATGTATATATCCAGTGTGGGCATAATAATATTATATTAACATACTTTATTCAGTTTCTGATTCTGGATCAGTTTTGGAAGAACTCATATTCCGTCTTTTCTAAATTTCTACCGCTCTGATTGACATCTCTGACTGTCGCCAAAGCAACAGCAGCTGATGCTCAAGAGTATTGTAGTATTTTAGATCAGATCAGAAACAAAGTGTGAATAATTCAAAATGTTGACGTTGACATTGTCAAAAGAGTCTTTAAATAAACATTAATAATACAAAATCACACTGAACAGCACAAGTATTCAACAACACATGGAGGAGAAAAGGGAACGAAGCACCAAGAGACCTATTAAAGAATCAGGTGACAATGAGAATAAAGGCCTGACTTTATACCATGATAAAGACCGATAGAGCTAAACACGTTGACCTCTCACCCCTGACCTCTCACGTCTGACCCCTGACCTCTCGCAGGTCTTCACAATGATCTTCATAGCTGAGATGTTCCTCAAAGTCGTGGCCATGGACCCGTACGGATACTTCCAGGTCAGACTTCCTGTTTATTGCGTGGGCGACTGTGGCTAAGTGGAGAGCAGGACCGTCCTTCAATCAGAGGATCGGTGGTTCGATCCCCGGCTCCGGCTCTGCTAGTCGCATGTCGATGTGTCCTTGAGCAAGACACTTGCTCCCGTAGCTGAGCCTACGGTGTAGAAATGTGATAGACTCTGAATTGTAAGTCGCTTTGGATAAAAGCGTCTGCTCAATGACTGTAATGTAATGTAATTGCCAGCTCAGTGTTGACGTTAACACAGATGTTAACGTGTGTCTGTTGCCATCGTTACAGGTGAGCTGGAACGTCTTTGACAGCATCATCGTCTTCGTCAGCCTGCTGGAGCTGTCTATCTATGACGGTCTTCGCTGGTTATTAGTGGTCAGTATGACATCATCATCACCACATCAAAATGAACAAATACTTTTATTAAGTACTTTAAATATCACAATATAAATAATATTACTGTTCTCCTGTACAGATGAGAGTGTTCAGGCTGGCCAGGTGGTGGCCGTCCTTCCACATGTTGATAAAGATCATCGGGACCTCGGTGAGGGCTCTGAGGAACCCGACCCTCCTTCTGCTCATCATGGGCTTCATCTTCAGCGTGGTCGGCATGCAGCTGTTCCAGCAGGACTACAAAGACCACGTCTGTCGCATCTCAGCGGACTGCCTTCTTCCTCGTTGGCAGTTTACGGACTTCTTCCACTCGTTCCTCGTCGTCACCAGGGTCCTGTTTGGAGAGTGGATTGAGATCACCTGGGACTGCATGGAGGTCTCGGATAAGACCACGTGTCTGATCTTCTTCTCGATGTTCCTCGTCATCGGAAACCTGCTGGTGAGTCTCAGCAGGTTGACCTATTTGGACCTGAGCCTGGATCCTGTATCTCATTAATCCTCCGGTCCAGCAGGTCAGCTGTAGCTCGAACAGATCCATGTCTGAGGTCAAAGGTTCCGGGTTTTGGTCTTTCTAGAAGATCGGCCCAACTATCATGAAAGATCTCAGTTCACTGTAAGTTTAGGTTGAGTACACAGTGTTACAGGTACAGGTCCTGAATCTCATTCCTGGCCTTATTGCAGGTCCTGTATCTGTGCCTGAATGTGTCTCCACCCTTGTTGAAGGTCCTGAATTTGTTCTTGAATCTCTTTATTTTGTTCCTAACTTTGTTCCCAGACTTGTTTGAGGTGTTGAATCGGTTCCTGACCTTGTTTTAGGTCCAGAATCCACTCTTGAATCTGTTTGCTGCTCTTGTTTCAGATCCTGAATCTGTTCCTAGTATTTCACAGGTCCTGAATCTGTTCCCAGTTTTCGCTGGCCTTGATCCAGATCCCCAATCTGTTGCTAACCTCGTTGCAGGATCTGAATCTGTTCCTGTAGTTGCCTCAGGTCCTGAGTCTATGTCTTACTTTGTTCTTGGTCCTGTTGCAGGTCCTGATCCTGTTTGCTCGCCTTGTTGTAGGTCCTTAAACTGTTCCGGGACTTTGGAGTTTCAGGTCCTGATTCTGTTCCTGGTCTGGTTTCAGGTCCTGAATCTGTTCCTGACCTTGCTGCTGAGCTCGTTCAGCACTGTTTGTCTGCTGGATCCAGAAGAAGAAGAACAAAGCACCCTGCAGATCACTATCAGGTGGATCAAGAGGGCTTTGGGGACTTTACTGGGAAAGAACACACATGTGAACCCAGACCACCCAGGTAGGACCAGACCAGGACCTGGAGCAAACTATTTATGAATGGACTTTTCTGTTCTTGATAATATTGATTTGCTTTTGTTTGGTTGTGATATTTAGTTTTTGTTATTTTCTGTATTTTGAATGTTTTCAGAGTTTAGAATCTGTTTCTTTTATCTTGAGATGAAACCTTCTTAATAAGTGGAGAAAGTTTTTAATAGTTCTTAAATATCGTTCACTATAAATCTCTCTTATGACTGAATGTATTTTGTGTAATTTCCTTTATTTTAGAGGTAGACAATAAGGAAGTCATCAGGAACAAGTATCTGGACTTTACCTCTGTGGCCTCAAACCCGCCGGTGTCAGAGGTCAAGGACCTCAATGGTGACCATGGATCCCAGAGGGTCCCCACCGCCGAGGCTGAGAAAACTTCTGAAGAGGAAGAAGAAAAAGAGAAAAAAGTAAACTGTTTTCAGCGATATTTAACTTCATAATATAGACAGTTCACAATCAGTGACTAACACATTAATCAAGAGAAAAGAAGCGGATGAAATAAACAAGAAGACAATAATACAATAAACAACAACAGCAGATAATTAATAGGAAGTTTATGTCACCAAGTTGTACAGAGACATCAGCATTTTAAGCATTATTACTTATGTATTATTCTAATTTTACATCAATCAAGTTTCACCTTTTTCAATAAAGGGCTCAGTGTTTTCTGTTTCTTGAGTTAACATCACCATAAATTTAACTTTCTGAAATTGAGAGCTAATTAAGTGAATCTTATTTTCCTGGTAACATGAGCACTTTATATTCTCTGGTCAGCTGACTGAACAATATCAGTCATAAAGCTTCCTTCAAATGAAAAGAGAAAAGCCAGAAATCCAATGTTGGGTTAGGGTTAGTCCCAGTAGTGATGCTAACCCTGGACTCCTCCAGGACTCTGTGGTAGCAGGTCTTAGTCCTATTACTGATGCTGACACAGCAGGTCTTAGTCCCATTAGTGATGCTGACCCAGCAGGTCTTAGT